AGAGGTATATTGCTGATTGTGATTCTCATCTTATCTGCCCTCACTAGCTGATATTTTTGTCTCCTTCATCCCCATTAAGGTAAAACACCCCAATCTTAAGAGAGAATGGCATGACCAAAAAAAAAAAAAAATCAACCCAAATTTCATTCATGCCATTGACTAAACAAATTATAGAGGAAAAAGTGTATTGCTATTAATAAAGGGATTTTTATTGGAGGTCTGTTATACTAGTAATCAGGGATAAACCTTGTCTGCCATTACTAATTCTTTTTGTGGGGAACCTACTACCTTTTCTTTGCATAGGAGAAATGGAAACTTGGAATCACTTTTTTCCTACCAGGTGAAAGACCTGCATTTTGTGTGTATGAGATCCCCTGGAGTAAAAGACTGTGCAGACCTTCTCTCTCTCCTTGCTACAATGGCTGGTGGCTTTCATACATAAGCTGAGCATTCCGTACCGCATTCGCGCCGGCTTATTTCCTAAAAGACTGCACCCCATATTCATAAGTTATATCTGTCAGCTCAATAGTTCCCTCAGGTTAATAGATTGGCTTAATTAAGTAAAACACAGTTGGATAATTAGACTTACAACCTCAGCCCCTCATTGATTCAGAAAATCTTTGTTTTTCCACCATAGTTTTATTTATATTCCAAACTTCAGTGGTTTCTTTTTTTTATCATCATTTTAAACCCATTGTCTGTTTAATCTGTTTTAGCTGACTTGTTTCATTTGGCCCAACATTCTGGGATCCAACAGTCATGAACACAAGTGTTTTGGTTTCCCCCCCGCCCCCATATGACATTTCCTTCCAAAGGCCTACTAGTCAAAAGCCATCTTTGGAATGAAAGGTTGTCTTGGGGCAGTTTTATTGCTTCATCCAGGTATTAACCAGCGTGGTGTGGAAATGACTAGCCGCCAGAAAGTATGCATATAACATGCCATTGGTATTTAAAGCTTTGAAGGAAACCAGGCTCTGGTGACAGCCATTAGCTTAGAAGGCTTTCAAAGGGAGATAAAACACATTCAGGGAGTACATGATTTTGGGCCAGTCCCTCTCTCTCAGACCACCAAGTCAAACTTGGGCAACAAGCCGGTCGGTCAATTCCTGTCATAACCAATGGATCAACATTTGGTTGATCTGAAAAAAAGCAGACCCTGCATCTGTGGGAAAAATGCTAGGAAGAAAAAAAAAAAAGACTACATTTCTATAGATGGATGCAGGCTACCCTTAGGTTCAGGAGAATGGGTGTTATCCATTACTGGGAAAGCAACTGTGGGAGTGGGCTGGTGTGCTCATATCTTATAAGCATCCAAAATTACCAACTGGCCCTTATGCCAATGAAGGTGTCACATTAAATAGATCTTTGGGTTGATGGCACAGAGCTTCTTTTTATGCTTCATAAAAGCATAAATGCTTCAGAGGAAGTAATTTTGAGTAATACATACAACAGCAACTACCATTTGTATACTTATGGCTCCAAGGTGTCCAGGAATATGACTTAGAGCTTTACTGACCAAGGTATTGCCTTTCCAGCATGAGCCTGTGTCCATTAAGAAGTTCTTTTGAAGATTCCCCTATTGTAAAGGCTTGTCTAGCTGCCCTGCAGGAGAGAATTTTCTGTGTTCCTCCCAGGCTATGAAATGCACTCCCATGCTATCAGTATTTGGAAAATCTGGAAAATCTCTCTTTTGCTGAGTTTGGATTGTTAACTGATTTGAGTATTAATAGTAGGGCTGGGCACTACTTTGGATCTGAAGGGAGAAAAACACTTCCAAGCACCCAGGAATGCCCAGCGATCTGCAACTTTTTAAAGCAGCTATGTCTTCCCCCAGAATTGCATGGTTGCCCTCCACAACCGTCACACAATCCCAGGAAAAGACACATTTAGTTTAACAAATTACTAACAGATGCTAGATGAACATACCAAGCACATTTTTGCCTTGGAATCCGAAGCACAACACAGTCTTAATTAGTAGCATTTCGTTTTTAATCTTTTATATTGCGTGCACATTTTTGTTAGTCTTCCTGAATGCTTGTCTGAACAGAAAGGGGGGATATAAATGGATTAATAACTTTTTTGTTATGTTTGAATACAGAATACAAACTCATTATGATAGCGCATCTACTTTTTATGCAAAAAAGTCTCTGTGTTTCATTTCTGCCATCTCCAGGTGTGACTGGGAACATCTCCCAATCTGTAATTTCTAAATAATAAGACACAGAAAAATTCTTGTCCTCATGCCTACAAAAACTCATCTGTTAATGGAGTATCTTCTGCAAGGTGGTTGAGTAATAAGATTCCTCGAACAGCTACTTAAGTCTTCCCAAATATAGGAAAACCAGAATTATCCAAAGATTGCACGTGCAGCGCTTATATTACAGAATTTAGATGCCTGGCTATGGAACTGTGATGTTTAGGTCAACTTATACAAGCTTGCCTACTTATTACCCGAGTCCATTTAATTTGTCGTTGCTTTCTTTTGGAAGTGGGGGTGGGGGCAAAATCCTAAAGTTTAGGAAGAATGCAAAATAGTAGGACTGAAAGAATTGTGAAAGGGGTGGGTGGGTTCATTCAACTAAATAACCCTTCTCTTCATGGAAAGTTGCTGTAGATAATAAAGGAGCTTTCAAAATAATTCTATGAAATGGCATAGGTAAATGTGATGGAATGCCTAACAGACTTGGGGAGCCCAGAAGAGGCAGCAAGACAAAGAAGGAAGGAAACAGGGCCATTACAGAAGCGGTTCTTGCATCCAGGGTGGAGGTTGGGAGAACTGTGCTCTGTTAAAGAAAATAATATCCCAAGGGGACCACCCAAGTCCATTGCCTACCTTAAATAGCATTTTGGATATTAGATCTTCTGTTGTAGTTTCAAAATTCAGATGGAAAGCCCAGCAAAGTTAAATCCACATTTACTTGAAAGGTAAATTCCTTAAATTCATCAACCCTGAATTTAAAATAATGCTCTCCATCCCCCCATCCCCCAAGGAAGATTAGAGAGAAAAACTCACCAGCCTTTATTAGCATATTCTCAGCAAACCTAAGATAAGCTTTCCATTTATGGGTAAATAATTTGGGAAAAAATTAATCTTCCTTTCAGACAAATACAGCAGATTATCTGGTAATTACTCATTGCACTTTCATTGACTAAATGGGTTGATAAATTTAAAACCATTACTTGAACTGGACGATGTGACTGCAATCAGTTGTATTTTATTCTTTCTAGCTTGTTAGACAGAGCTGGTTAAGATGGAGACGTGCAGGACGGCCGGTATATTATTGCTTATTAAATTTCTTATCCGCCCATTTTAACAGAAAAAACCCAAGGTAAGCTAACCATTGCATAACCCCATGCAAATCAGTAGAGAAACAGATAATAAACGTCTTGAAATACAGCATCGTATAAAAGACTTCACACACGTTCAGCATGTGAGAAAGCCCTTTGCTGTCTTTCAGAAAAAAATGTCCAGGCTGCAGACAAAGACGCCGTCCCAAGGTTGGAATTCAGCATCACAACAGGAAACACTCAAGAGAGGAACCAACCTAGTTTTCAAAGGCAATGGCTTGGGGGCCATGGCTGCCCCCCAACTCAGCTGGTTTAGACACACCGAGAAGGCATTTTGCTCATCTGATTATTCCTTTAGTGCAGTAATTTGTTTTCTACCCGGGAATATTAGGCATAAGAAATCAGCACCATAACTGAAAAAAAAAGGAGCCTATTTCACACATCAGAGCGTGTAAGATAACTTGAATCAATTATCCTCTGCTTGTTTTTAGTTTAAAAGAGGAAAAGGAGAGAGGTGGGAAGGCAGAATCATAGAATATATGGCTTTTTATCACGATCAGAGGTTGCTTGCATTTGTTATCAGCAGGACCAAACAGTTGTTAAGAGCAGGTCTACTGTATTGCGCTGAAGTAGTTCTTCGTGTTGGAAGATTATGAATGGGTAAAGGTACCCAGAATAGGCCAAATTATTCAGAATTAAATGGCAACCAGGAAGGAATAAAGCTATTCAGCTGTAGGGTAATAAAACACATGCAAGAGTACCCAAATGACACAATTAGCCAAGAATAAAGGATGCTTTATATGAATCAGATAAAGAAAAGCATTACTAGAGTAATGTTTGGGTTTCAAAAGTGATAGTTACAAACAGGGCATGAAAGCAGCAGCCTTCCACGATATGCAAGTACGTGTGAGGTCTACGCAACCCTGCCATTGAACTGAAAGCTCCAATTGGAAACTGGGCCCCTTTTTAGAAAAGGCAAAGTTTGAAGCCTCTAAAGTCATGTTTCTCAACCTTGGCAACTTTAAGATGGGTGGATGTCAACTCCCAGGATTCCCCAGCCA